AATCCATTATATAAGGTGTCATAAAAAATGGTCCACTAAATTACCACTTTTCATCAAAACTCGTACAATAGTTAACATAGTGTACTAAAATGGCAATCATCCGTTTTTGTACGAATTTTGTACTAAAATGACAATCACATTTTAGTACGAATACTAAAATGGCGTTTGGTATTCAAAAATTACGTGAACGGACGGTTTTACCCTCACATTGTTGCACATGTGCTTTCTCCGGTGTGAAATTTGGCCGGAATCAATTTCGATTACACTGAGAAGTAATTTTTCAACCAAAAAAATTTATATGACAAACTCTAAAAAAAGCATCCTTGAGAGGTTAATTATTTTTTTTTCCTAAAATTAATAATAAAATTCGACTGACAAATAATAATTGGAAAAACGAAAGACGAACTTGAAAGTTGAAACTACTTACCTTAATCTCCTCCAAGTTTTTGAGTTATATTTCATTTCCTTCTCTCCCTCTCTGCATACTCTAATTCGCACTTTCTCTCAGTTGATACAAATTCACTCCTCATCTCAGTCTCGGATTTCTGAATCGCGGCACTCGCTCACGGAAAAATGGTGAGACGCCTTGTATCTTGTCATCTTTTAATTGTGATTATAGGACGTGATTGGGATATTGGATTTGATGTTTTCCGTTGGTTGGGGTTGAGTTTCATGGTTCTAAATTCGTTTTGTTTTTCAATGCTGGTTCATTGCCTTTTGAATTTCAGCGTTAGATTTGGATTTTGTTTGATTGGTTGGTGGTGCTTAAGATCTGGGAGCTGGTATTAGTTCCTGCTAACTTGATTGTTTTGATTGTTTGTTTTCTGGTACTGAATTTGTCTGCTGTGCGCTGCAGCCGCTCAGACTTGAAATCAAGGTACTGAAATCATTTGAATGAATATATGATCATTTCTTTTGTGTTTGTTTGATTTTTTGTGTTGTGTTTCCTTGCTTGTGTGAGTGATTGATTGTTGGAAGCTGAATTTTCATATTGCATCAGAGGAAACTTGCTCAAAGGTCAGAAAGAGTGAAATCTGTGGATCTACACCCAACTGAGCCATGGTATTTTCGTACACTAGATCAAAATGCCTACTTTCGTGCCGCATGTCTATTTTTTAGCCGCATCAGACTTTTTTAGGTAGAAACTAGAATTTATGGCTTGATGTCCGTATTCTTAATTAATAGAAGAAGAAAGGACTATATTTTTGTTGTTCTCGTTGTTTCCAGTACACAATCATATTAGATATTTTACGAACAAGTTTATTTTGTTTTATCTTGTATACTTTCATATGGTCAAAACCTACAAGTTCTAGCCTTTTGCAATTGTAGTCATAAAATTGGGTTTTAGGGGTTTGATATGTTCTTTGGGTTTATTTTAGCTATGTCCTATTTCGGTCTTTTTATATGTTTGTTTCCATTTTAAAATTTACAATTTTCTTGACTTGAATATTTGGCACTTGCACAGGATATTGGCAAGTTTGTATTCAGGGACTGTTGGCATTTACAATTATCAAACCCAGGTATGTATAATGCAGCTGACCAAGTATTTTTATCTCGTCATGAGAGATTGACAACTTGATCTCATGTATTCCATGGGTAATTCTATGATGTCTGTGTAGTTACTAAGTTCTGTTTTCTTAATGTTGAAGTTAGAAAAACTAGCTGAATCATGAGAGATTCGTCGTTTCTGTAATGAAAATGAGCTAATCTCTTATTAAGCGAAATCTTAAATGATAAGCTCTCTTCTTGACTTTTTGGAACATAGTGCATATAAAAGTTATACGAGAATGATATTACAAATTTAATACTTCATATAGTTCTTATGGTTTATTTTCATTCCCATATCCTCTTCTCAGCTGTATGTGCTTGTTTGAAAATCGTTAAAGATGAGTTTGACTTCTACGATTGACCAATTTGCAAGTTGAGATTCAAGTTCATCATGATGAAATTCATTTGACTATTTGACTGCATCTTCTGAATTAAAATGATGTGCAGTCATAAGTGCTCCTGCATATTTGCAGTTTTTTCCGATAAACTGTATGCAGTCCATTTTCTTCATATCCTAAATTACATTCTTAACCTGGATTCTGCCGCTGCAGACAATGGTCAAATCATTTGAGGTTACGGAACTACCAGGTGGGTGATTTGAATTATGTATTCGTTATGAATACCTCACTAGAACCTTTTCACCTTGGTGATACTGAGAGGCCCTTCAACACTTATAATACATGCCATGTATATTGCAGTTAGGTCAGCTAAGTTTATAGCACGAAAGCAGTGGGTGGTTGCTGGTGCTGATGATATGTTTATCCGCGTTTACAATTACAACACAATGGATAAGGTTAAAGTATTCGAGGCACATACAGATTATATTAGGTGTGTGGCTGTCCATCCGACACTTCCATACGTGTTGTCATCCTCAGATGATATGCTAATAAAGCTCTGGGACTGGGAAAAAGGATGGGCATGCACTCAAATATTCGAGGGTCACTCTCATTATGTGATGCAAGTGACGTTCAATCCGAAGGACACCAACACGTTTGCCAGTGCATCCCTTGATCGCACCATTAAGGTACTAAAGATGGAATTGTTCATATCTCATTTTTTTTTAAGCTTTTAGTAAACCTGACATGGCAGTTATGAGGGAGTAATGTTTTGTTTTTGTAGATTTGGAATCTTGGTTCTCCTGACCCAAACTTTACCTTAGATGCACATCTGAAAGGAGTCAACTGTGTCGATTATTTTACCGGTGGTGATAAGCCTTATTTAATTACTGGTTCTGATGATCATACTGCTAAGGTTTGTCTTAATTTGTCCTTCCAATGTTTAGTTTCATGAGTTCTATGAACAAACGATTAAAACTGTCTTGGGGGTTTGTAACAACAGGTGTGGGATTATCAGACAAAGAGCTGTGTCCAGACACTAGAAGGCCACACGCACAATGTTTCAGCAGTTTGTTTCCACCCTGAGCTTCCCATAATAATTACAGGTTCCGAGGATGGTACTGTCCGGATATGGCATGCCACCACTTATAGGTAATTGTGGCAGGAGATGACTTAATTTCTGGGATCATTCTTCTCGGTCTAACTCATCAAGTATTATAAGTTAAATATTGTTTTTACAATATTTCTTGCGTGAAATTTATTTTCCACTTGTTGCTTCAATCATGAGATAGTTGATGAGCTTCTATGATTGTTATTGCATGAGATATTAGGTTGAGTTGGTTCTAATCAACTACATCATCTTGCAGACTTGAGAACACCTTAAATTATGGTCTTGAAAGAGTTTGGGCGGTTGGCTACATGAAAGGTTCGAGACGGTAAGTTGATCTGTTGCTGTTTGTTCTTGGGGCTGGTTGGTGGGAATCTTTTGTTTATGTAGTTCTAGTCTTAATACTGTAGCTAACACTCACGTTGAGTTTATAATGGTTGGTGCCTTAAAGCACAAAGTTACATCGTTTCCACAAATTGGGATATGAGTTTGAGTGAAGTAGCCATGATTGACCTTTGCAATCAAATGTCTTATCTGCATCCATAAGCTGGTTATAGGCTTTAATTAAGGTTTCTATATTGGCAAGATAACAAATATTGGAGAATGTAGCTCTAAATTTTTTGAAATCCTTTCTGTTATACTTGAAATTGCACCTGAATCAATGGATTTGGTGTTCAGGGTTGTAATTGGATACGATGAAGGAACCATAATGGTAAAGCTTGGTCGAGAGGTACCTGTTGCCAGTATGGACAACAGCGGGAAAATCATTTGGGCAAAGCATAATGAAATTCAGACTGTCAACATTAAGAGTGTTGGAGCAGATTACGAGGTGTGAATCTGCTTGGACGTTTTATAATCTTTTGAGCTCCATTGACTGAAATCACTTTACGTTTTTGTTCAGGTTTCTGACGGAGAGAGATTGCCCTTGGCTGTTAAGGAATTGGGAACCTGTGACCTTTATCCACAGGTTATTTTCTCTTAAACCACTTTAATCATATGTTGATTCCATGTCCGTCCTGCTCTAGTTTTAATGCAAGCAAGAAATGTCTATAATCTCATTTGCACGGATACTTAATTCTTTTTTTCTCTCTCTCTTTTTAACTATATTAATTCTATGATGTATTATTAGGTTCTGTATGCTTAAATAATTTGTGATGTATATGTATTGGGGTAAAGAATATGGATGTTCTGTTTTGGACCTTTTTCTTCTTAATTTGTTGATATATTATAGTCATAATAAGAGCTCAAAAGTCAGAACATATGTGATTATCACATAGTCTTAATTCTGTCCATGTAGTTATCAAATGTATCTTAGAGTTCTTCAAGAACTCAAAGTTTCAGTTGACTTAGTTATTTTTTAATTTTTCTTGCAGAACCTGAAGCACAACCCTAATGGTAGGTTTGTTGTTGTGTGCGGGGACAGTGAGTATATAATTTACACTGCTTTGGCTTGGAGAAACAGATCATTTGGTTCAGCATTGGAATTTGTTTGGTCAACTGAAGGAGAATATGCTGTTAGAGAAAGTACATCAAAGATCAAGATATTCAGTAAAAATTTCGTGGTTTGTTTCTCACACCTCATAGTTTATTTTTAACCATTCCTATTTCCTGACTTCTTGTTAGGTTTAACTTTTACTGTTGCTATTCTTGGATTTCTTGTCCACTTGGTCTTCTTTAATTGTCCTCTATTTTTCAAGTTAAATTACATCAGTTTGTTTCCTGTTAGATTGAGCAGCTTTTGTGCGAAATTGTTAAACTTCTTTTTTTCTTTCTTTATGCAGGAAAAGAAAAGCATCCGTCCCACATTTTCTGCCGAGCATATCTATGGCGGAACTTTATTAGCCATGTGCTCAAATGATTTTATTTGCTTTTATGATTGGGTTGAGTGCAGGCTTATAAGACGAATTGATGTCAATGTTAAAGTAAGCACGTATGACTAGTATGCTTTTTACACGTCGCTATTGTGGATTTAAAAAGGGTAATTTGTTTAATTTTTTCCATTTCTTCACAATTATATGCCAGAATCTCTACTGGGCTGATAGCGGTGATTTGGTCACCATTGCCAGTGACACATCATTTTACATTCTCAAGTATAATGTAAGCATATGAATCATCTTCATTGCCTAGTATAATATTTTGCTGAACTTTTGTGGTAACTGTTGGAGTCTTGCATGTTTTGCAGAGAAATGTAGTTTCTGCTCATTTGGATAGTGGGAGGTCAGTGGATGAACAAGGCGTGGAGGATGCTTTTGAGCTTCTTTATGAAATTAATGAACGAGTGCGGACCGGACTTTGGGTTGGGGATTGTTTTATTTACAATAACTCGTCATGGAGACTTAATTACTGTGTGGGCGGTGAGGTATGTGTATTTTTCCGTTTTAGTTGGATGCAGAACGTGAGAGAGAAACACATATTTGTTCCAAGTCATCATTTTTTGTGCATTTGAATTTGTAGGTGACGACTATGTTCCATTTAGACCGACCTATGTACCTGCTTGGATATCTTGCTAGTCAGAGCCGTGTTTATCTTGTCGACAAAGAGTTTAAGTGAGTACTTTTCACAAGTCTCTCTATCTATATGCATACTCAGCAGCAGCTGGTTTTATTACCATTTATCTGCGAATACTTTTTGGCAGTGTTATAGGATATACGTTGCTGCTTAGCTTGATTGAGTATAAGACTCTTGTAATGCGCGGTGATCTGGAAAGGGCTAATGAGATATTACCATCAATACCAAAAGAGCATCATAACAGGTGTTTTATCACCTTTTACCCTGTAGTTGATTGCTAATTTAATTTGCTTATTTCTTTCCGTGATCTATGCATGATTTCTGTAATATTGCCGTGTTTAAAACCAGTTTGTGGGGGCCCTAGTTGATTGAGCTAATCAACATTTTAGCTGATATGTATCTAGTTCACATGCTTTTTCTTTCTTCTCTGTAAATTGCCAAAGAAGAACTATGAAGACTAAGACGTCCGGGTTTTGGATGGGTTAGCGAATACCGAAAAATGTATCTTGGGGATATGGAGTTAGGAGATAAAATGATCTGGCGTTGTTTATTTATAGAATCATATTTTTTGAAAAAAAAATTTTAATCAACAGTGTGGCCCATTTCTTGGAATCACGAGGAATGATCGAGGATGCTCTTGAAGTAGCTACAGATCCCGACTACAGATTTGAGTTGGCCATAAATTTAGGCAAACTGGAAATCGCAAAGGTGAATGCTGTCCACTTGTCTAGTACTCTGGTCGTATAATAGGTTAAACAAAAATCCTGGCGAAGCATTTCCAATTTGTTTCCTGGACATTATTTAAAACATCCTTCTTATTCTGTACCGAAACTTTATTATCAAGATTAGTATGTAGTTTAACAGGGCAAATATCTGTTACTTTTTCTACAGGAAATTGCAACTGCAGCACACAGCGAGCCCAAATGGAAGCATTTGGGTGAATTAGCATTGTCTACTGGAATGGTATCTCTTTTTCATTAGGATCTAACTGAAAATTATTTAGAGTTTACTTGATGGATTTTATTTTCTCACGTGATAAACTGCTGCTCACCTCTATCAAGCAATTGGGTGTATTATCATTTCTTTCTTTCTTTCTTTCTTTCTTTCTTTCTTTCTCTTTTTTCATTTTTCTTTTTTGGTATTTTTAAAATTTATGCTTCTGTCTTAGTTGGAGACAGCAGAGGAGTGTTTGAAGCAAGCAAATGACTTGAGTGGCTTATTGCTACTCTATTCCTCCTTGGGCGATGCTGAAAGAATTGCCGATCTTGCATCTCTTGCCAAAGAGCATGGAAGAAACAATGTTGCTTTCATTTGTCTATTTATGTTGGGTAAATTAGAAGACTGCCTTCAGTTGTTGGTCGACAGGTAAAACTTTTTCATTACTTCACTCTGGTTATTTCACCATTTTATCTCCATAATAAAACTATCTTTTTCCNATACCTGAAGCTGCATTGATGGCTCGTTCTTACCTTCCAAGTAAGGTGTCGGAAATTGTTGGCCTTTGGAGAAAGGACCTGACTAAGGTTACCATTCTTGCCTACATCTATGTTAAAGTTTTTGTCTACTCCAGCACTCAGGATTTTTAAAGCTGATTTCATCTGGAGTCGATCAAATCATTTTATTGCTTATATAAATACGAATTTGCAGATTAATCAGAAAGCTGCAGAATCTCTTGCTGATCCAGAAGAATACACGAATTTGTTTGATGACTGGCAAGTTGCTCTTGCTGTTGAATCTAAAGTTGCTGAGGCGAGGTAATAAAATGAAGTTGTGAATAAAAATCCATCTGAATATATTATTTTTCTTTTTTTTCTGCCTGGGGAGTTATTCCCATAGCTTAACTTTGGTATGTTTACGGGAAGGAACTGAAACCTGTCTTATGAGTGAACATTTTAATATATATAGAATATATTTTTTTCTTTTTTTGTTGTAAGGGGAAACTATCCTTCGGCTGCTGAATACGCGCAACAAGCTGATAGATCAACCGCAAGCCTTGTAGAAACGTTTAGAAACATGGAATTAGGAGAAGAGGAAGAAGCAGAAGAACCTATGGAAAATGGAGCCTTGGATTATGAGGTATAGGTTCCTTTTTTATCTTGCTGGTTTGTTATTTTATTGAACATCTTATTTTGTTATAAGAAGTACAGGGGCCTTCTTATTGAAACTTTATTGTGCGATTGAATATCATTTCATTTTGGAGATATTTTGTTGGTTAGGAAGGAACCATGAGAATAGATTTGAAAGAACAATGAAAAATGTTATGTGTATGAATGAATATGGTGAAGTATAAATGATTAGAGGAATGTTCTCAGGTAGAGCTATATGACTGAGTGAATAGTGAGAAATCTATGGAAAATGTGTAATAATTGACTGGTATAGAGTGTTACTTTTTAAAATTAAATAGAAATGTTTGGTGGTAGAAAAGTGTCATGCAAGTGAGTGAATAGAGGTCTGAGGACTTGTGCGAAAAACTCAAGTTAAAAAGAGAAAATCTAAACTACTGGAGAGGTGTTCCAGTCGCATCTTTAATCTCTGGTTTCTGATGGATGATTTTTGTATGTCCATCTCCGAACTTTGGGAGATGCCATATGTTGGAATTTTGACAAAAATCTACACATGGTGAATCATTTATCGAGATACGTAGTAACTGATGATGTATGCCTAAATTATCACCTAAGTGTTTTTTCTTTTTGTTTTTGTAAATTTCTTCCCCAACTTTGTTTAGGATGCAGAACCAAATGGCGAAGTGCGAGAGGAGTTGGATGAAACGCAAGTAGAAGGTGGATATATTAAGAGTCAAGAAGAGGCTCCTGTGGTTGATGCCGACTCAACCAATGGTGCCATGCTTATAAATGGGAATGAGGCTGCGGTGGAAGACAGGGATACAAATAACCAAGGAAAAACGGTAGTCTAAAAGCGATTGGATTGGAGTGTGAAATTCCCTTGTTTAGTTGCTGGTAATCAACTTAGACTCGAACTTATCGTTATTAGTTCATTGGTGTTCATCCATTCGTTGTGCTAGGCATTTTCATCTACCATACCCTAGTTAGGTTTGAATGGATATATTTCTGAATTGAAATAACTTCCCTCCATTTGATTTTTTTCCTCCTTATTGAGTTTCTGTTTTTAAAAAATCTCAATATATTGGTAATGTTCACTGATTTCAATTTGTTTCCATCAATCACTTCATTTTAAATAAATAAAATTTATAATCATTTTTACACATTTTTCCATAAATTCCAATGCACCTACTCAGATATTTTTAACCATCATTATTTTATTATTTTGTATCTAATAGACTTCTGACATGACATTTCATCAGCTCGTCGAAATTCTCCATTCAAATTTTAAAAAAATATATATAAAAAGAAAATTTCATGATTTACTATCACTCCATTAGGCTTCAGCTGAGTGAAACATTTTCATCCGACCTATGATTTCAGTGAAATCTTCTTGATTTATTAATGGAAGTTATGATGCTTGATTCTCATTTGGTCATTATGCTTGCCCTTGATCATGAAGATATTAGTCTTATGTCTTCATGGAGCCTTATTCTTTTGTTCACTTCTTGCTGGGTTGTCAGTGCTTGCCCTCGAATCTACTCAAGACAGACGGTTCCAGCTGTAAACTATTTCTCTCATGGTAAGGATTCAAGCTTTGTCTGAGATGCATTTTGTTACGATCAATGGCATGTGATGATACGTTGAGACAGGGGCGGACGCAGCCTCGGAAGACTGAGGGTGCACGAACGTAACCTTTACAAAGTGCAAAAGAAAATAAAAAATAAAAATGATATTTATTCCATGCATGTTCTTATATATTATATCACTCATAATTACATAAATTCAAATCTCATTAAATATTTTTTTTTTCAAATACCGATATTTTTTTTCTTTTGCATTAGATATTCTTACAACGTCCGCATTCATGGACTTCCTTACAAAGATAAATATTTTATTAGTTAAAAAACCAATGACAAACACAATTTAGTAGCTAATTTTAAACTTATAATTATAATTTTAAGAACGCCTAAAAATTAATATGTATCAAATTAATGTTGAATTTTGTGGAAAATCGATGTAACTCATTTATATATGTTACCTACAACATAATACAAATACAACATGCAAACAACTTAAATTCTGAGAAAATTTCTTTGTAATTATTTTACAATGTAATTATATATGTACTAATTTTTTTAAAAAATTGCATAGGGACCCGTGCCCCCTACGGGCCCTTGCTTAGGTCCGCCCCTGCATTGAGAAGTTTAGCACATCTTGGAATTAACATCAATGCTTGATTATTCTTATTCTTTGTTTTTTTAATGTATTTTACCAAACAAACATTATTTTTTTCTTTCGTTTTTGTGGTCCCTTAGACAATTTAAGTTTCCTTGTACCAGCTGTGTGCTTTATGCTCTTGCCCGAAAGAGGTGGTCTCGTGGAACTGAGTGTCTTTCTCCATTTCAGATGAAGGTGAATGAAATTTTTGTCGTGGGGCCCCACATTCATTATACATTCAAGAGTTTTGGTTGTTTTAGCCTAGTATTGATAGTTACAATTTAATTATGATATATTTTTTGTGCTGGTTTTTACTTGAAATTATCTGGTGGTTGTCGTGAGGTGTAGATACGTACTCGATTCCCATCGCATTGTTAAATCCCGAATTTTCCCATTGAATATATTGCGTTTTGTGCAAAAATCTGTTTACTTTTAAGTGGATGTTAAGAAGTTACTGAAAATCGTAATCCCGAGTATTAGACTTGGAAATACGAGCAAGCTTTTTTTTTTCTTCCGTCCAAACTGATGAATTCAGTTCAAATTTGTGTTTGAGTCTTTTAAGGTATTACTGGTGTTAGATTTTTGAGATTTTTGGTGGTCAGAAAGAGATTTTGCAAATGATGCCATTCACCACTCTAACACTCTCTTATTGGCAATGATAAATACTATTAGAAGATATGTTCAAAATAGTACAAGTACATCACTAGTTCATTAGAAGAGTAAAATCCTGGCCATCTGTTCAGTAATTTTTCCTTGCAGATGTTTCAATTTTAAAATATGAAATAACTACTTTAGCATCTCATCAGCCTTCTACAGTTAACAGGAAGTTTAAGGTCATGAGGTCGAGAGGGCCTAAACGAACCCAAAAGAGTGAGTTTGACTTGGATCGTTTGCTGCTTGCTGTTTTTTATTTAACTAGTACGTAACCCGTGCGATGCACGGGCTGTATTTATTTTGGAGAATATTATAAATTAAAATGTACTAATAAATAAAAGAGTGATAATTCGTAAGGAAATTGTTAAATTATAAAATGATACTCATGAAAAAAATAATATATTATTATAAATCTCCTTGTACACAACATTATTTGTTTGATAACTGGACAATTGATGTCCCACAAACTAATATTTTTAATTCTTTTCTTTTACTTACACGCGAAACAAACGACATATAATTGTATGGACTAAAAATTGATTTCTTTAAGAACATGCCAACGTACGATAAAGACTGATATTGATTCTTCTTTATTTATTACTTACACGCGTAACAAAATCATATAATTGGTTGTGACTAAGAACTGATTTTTTTAAGAACATGTCAATGCACGGCTCTTATCTTTTGCTTACACGCGAAACAACGACATATAATTGATAGCGCGTGACTAAGAACCGATTTCTTTAGGAACATGTCAACGCACGATAAAGATTGACCTCAACTCTTAAATGGAACCCTAAGATTAAAAGGAACTGGTGCAGCTGGAACGTACATTGAATCCTAAGATCCTATTTATAATATGATAATTTACTTAGGCAGTTAGACAAATGAGTTGGTACTATATATTTTTAATATCGACTATACTTAATTAGCTAAATAATATTTACTAATATTTTTATAATTTTTAATACAAAAAGACTGACCTTGACTCTTACATGAAATCCTAAAATCAAAAGGAACTGTTAATTAGAGCAGATGAATCTATTTATAATATGATGATTTATCTGGCAGTTCGACAAAGGAGTTGTTAGTTTATCATATTAATATCGTATTAGCTAAATAATACTCACTAATATTTTTATACTTTTTTATCCTGTTTAAAAGAACATTAAAAATGTATGTTTAAAATATTAAAAACACCTAAAATGTTATATAACATATATAAGATTATCTAAAATATTCTATATTATTCTTAAAAAATGTGAGATCATCTAAAATTTTTTAAAATTATTTTGAAAGTAAAACATGTCTACACAAAAGTTCAACACACACACACATATATACACACCATGTTTAAAATATACAAAATATTTCATGTGAATAATATGTATTAAATTCTAAAAAAATATTAGTAATCATATCTACAAAATTATGCATGAAAATACTATTTGTTAATATGAAATTTGTATATTTAATTATACTAATGTTTTATTAATCGTGAAAGGCCTACTCTCATTAAATCGGCAAAGTTACATTAATATATTATTAAATTATTTGGTATCCTTCTTTTTTTCAGCAGATTAACATTATTATATTATTTAATTATTAAATTTTATGAACACACGGTTTTATAAGGATATTAAAACTTGGCAACTAACACTGTCATTACAAATGTAATACAGTAATATTGTAATGCCTGCTAAAGTCCAAACACACACATTAATGGTTGATAAATAATGCAACAAAAGGTCCCTTGATAGTTTTTAGGACTCCAGCACCAGTTTTGCAGTGCAACAGCCCAAAAAATTAAAAAACAAATATTAACTGCTCATTGAGGAAGAACAGGAGGAGCAATAGTCCGAGTACTATACGATCCGCAATGATTGCATTTCTGACCAATTATGTGGAAATAAACTTCCGTAGTATCATTGCAGTCGTTGCAAAGAATCCACACCTGAAGAAAAGAAAAAAAAAAAGAACACCAGAAAAATGGTTTACATTTTTTCAGTGGAATTAACAAGGAATGAAAAAAAAAATAATAAAAAGAAAAAGAATTTGTAGATTTACAGTCACCTTCTTGTATCTGTATTCATCTGGCACCACAGTTGCTTCAATCTGTGCAAAACATGACATTTATTTAACAAAAATCAGAACCTTTTACAAACTGCAGCTATTGACTAAGATCAACCTTGTACGTGATTGTAAATCACATGAAAACATTTGAAATGAAATTTTAAAGAATACATTTAGGTTTTTTTTTCCTTGAAATATTTTACCTGAGTTATCCTGAATAACTACGATACAAACTAATGATCAAAAGACACAACATAAAAAGTATTGTCATTGAAGCAAAAACTTAACCAATAGCTAGCTAGCACAATATTTCCAATAAATATGAAAAGAGTCGAAAATACTCCAAACTACCTCTTAGTCGCCTATTTATCACCAATCTTTTTTATCTTTACAGTGTGGCCTAAGTAGCTAAATACATTGGAACTGTTGAAGTTGAAAGTAAAATGACCTTCCACGAACATTTTCAAATCCCAAATACAGAGTGATAGAAATTTAAGCTCCTGGATTTGTACATCATAGGCTAATAATAATAAAACAAAGACGCAAATTTCACATTTTCAGGAAAGACATTATTTAACCAGTTTTCCAGTCGCAAATTCCACAACTTATTAATAATCATAAGTTTAAAGTCCAAACCAATAGCGTTTACCTCTTCATCTATTCTCTTCCAAGTCCCCGTCATATCCATGATCGACTTGGAACATATTGGACAACAGTACCTGTAAATTTGCAAACAGTAACTACAAAATTTGCCTCCCAATGTAATCGAAACTGACAGTTTGCCTCCTCGATTGAAAACCCTAATATGGCACAAAAGAGTTTTTAACTCAATTAATGATGAATTTTAAACTACTCTTTAAAATTGATTTAAGGCTTTTAAAGCCCATGGCGAGACGAACAAAATGAGGTATAATATGTCAAATTCTAAAAATTGATACCTCTATAATCGATCCACGAAGATAGTAGGAGCACGTGTGTATAAAAAAAATTTCAATTCAAGTTTTATGACAATCAAAATATCCGATTTTCGATTGGGAGGTGTCTTTCGAAAGCTAGTAGGACCAATTTTCTAAAACGTAAATCTTATGAAAATCCAACGATCGGATTTTGATCAGTATTTAGAAAACTATTGATCAATAGTTAGCTTTTTTTTAGGCTACTAACCAAAATCCGACCGTTGGATTTTCATAAAATTTACTTCGATAGAAAACTCGTCCTTCAAGCTTTCAAATGACACCTCTCAATCGAAAATCGGATATCTTGATTATCAGAAAACTTGAATTGAAATTTTTTCTATACACACGTGCTCCTGCTATCTTCGTGGATCGATTTTAGAGGTATCAATTTTCAGAAATCGACAAATCATACCTCATTTTGTTCGTCTCGCCATGGGCTTTAAAAGCCCTAAATCAATTTTAAAGATTAATTCAAAATTTATCATTAATTGAGTTAAAAACTCTTTTGTACCATATTAGGGTTTTCAATCGAGGAGGCAAACTGTCAGTTTCGATTACATTGGGAGACAAATTGTCAAAAAAAAAAAAAGTTTATATGACAAAGTAAAAAAAAGGGCATACTTTGGGAGGTTAAATTTTTTTTTTTCCCAAAATACTTTGATTTTCCTGTTTGCTGTTAAAAATTATTGTTGTGAGATTCATATTAGCTCATTACTTCTCACGCTTTATTAGCTCATAATAACATTCACAATGCATCGTGTGACCGCATTTCATGACGGTTATATCCTTCAGAGAGTCGAACAAATACTGTAAAATGCAACAAATGCAGAGTGTTCAGACATGTAACAATAACACTTTCGAGAGATAGTGAAAATAAGCAAAAGGTGAGACCTCGTAACAAATTGGGCAATGATGTCTCATTGAGTTCTCCACACAAAGGTGATTGTTGCGCAAACTAACTGAATAACATGAGCCTGTGTAATGAAAATCAAAAAGTAGTTAAAATGATGATGAACCACAATAGTTAAATTTATAAACATGAAGCACACAGAAAAGCGTAATAGTCAAAACGATGATGAACCACAATAGTCAAAACAAAAATCTTGTTTCCATAAGCAATTTGCGGATCGAAAACATAAAATTAGTTCTTGGCTCAATTAAAAAATAGAGGCAATAATCAAAATCCATAAACTACACCAACCAATTGGCAATTGCAATTTGCACATCAAAACAAAAAAATTTATTTAAAAAAAAACAATAAATTTACCCTGACGAACTGACCGCATTTCATCATCTGCCGGAAGTCACCGAAGTTTACCCTCCCGTTGCCACCTAAGTCGACCCTGACGATCATACTCTGGTACGCCTCCGGCGTCTTCACCTACTTCAGCCCCAGCACCGCTAGCATCGACCTCAGTTCATCCGCCATGATGAACCCGCCCTGTCTCGATTGAAAACCCTAAACGCATCCCGCACGTCCTCTTCACCGTCGCCCCCCTCGTCGCCTCTGTCGTCTTTCATTGCCGCCGCGTACAGGGCGTCGAACTCCTCGGCATCCACCTAGACGTTCCCATTGACGTCAATCTTCCCAATCATCACCCGCAACTTCTCCTCCGACACGCAGATCCGGAGATTATCTAGCGACTCCTGAACTCCTTGCTTGGAAACCGTGAGGAGTTATGGGAGATTAAGGCGTGATTTATGGCGCTGCAATAGATAAAGAATTTGGGCAGATTTGTTGTGTTTGGGGAGAGATATGGAGAAACGCAGATTTTTTGGCGGATCTGTTGTGTTTGGGGAGAGATATGGAGAACCGCGGATTTTTGGGGAGACGAACAGATTTCAATTGCAACGCGCGTAAACAGATTTTCAGCCGTATTATAAGGAATCAAAATTTTAAATTGCACGGTTTTAAAAGATTGCTATATTCAATAAGTCAACTTGATTGAT